GCCACAACCGTACCATAGATGTATACACATACCATAGATATACACCTACCATGTTCACTTATCAGTATTATAATGTATTCTATTTTTCTTTCAGGGTGGCACAGGAAGTATGATGAGGAAGTGTCAAGAGACCAGCTTGTGATGATACCCCACCAAACCTCATCATTTGCCCACAAGCTGGTGGTAATGATTAAAGAAAAATTAAGTCCATGTGGATCAGACAGTCTGGTTAAAGTGAAGGTGCCAGTGACGGCAGCAGAATTTCTCCAAATATCCAACTGTGGAACCCCCCACAAAATGACAAAGACAAAGACTGTGTATAAAATAATAGAACAGAAACAGGTTAAATCAGTTACTTGGAACAGGCTGGGACTATAGAATTCTCAATGCAGAAGGAGACAACTTTTATATAAAAACACACACAGTGAAATTCTATCTGCATAGTAGGAGACCACTTACAGATTTCCTCCTGTACCCTGAGCACATCGAAAGGTATACCCTGGACAGAGGCACTCAGCTGGTCTTTTCCTTTGTGAAAATGCCATCTAACAGGAACAATGGTGCAGACCTCTTGAATGCTGTAGAACTTTAGTCAACAAGAGTGTGGCCATCTATTTTTTGACAGTTTGTTTGAGAATCTTTAACATTTTTTTACAGTTATATGGAATTCACAGAAATACAGGAAGTTAGAATTTAACATTTTCTACAGTTATATGGAATTCACCGAAATACAGGAAGTGTTTTAGAAACTTAAAAATTTTCTAAAAGGAAATTTGATTTTAATCGCAATTATGTTTGCTGTAAGATTCTAAACTGTTTTGAAAATAGATATGGTTGTACTATCTAAATTAACCCTTTTTTCCTTAGTACAGAATCATTGGAAAGAACCTTTAACGTTAGATGTAGTCAAAAACATCAAAACTGAGTTAGAAAATGAGCTAACACTATCGTTTAAAGCAAATGAGAAAGATGTAAACATTTTAAGAGCTTTATAGACTTAAACGAAGTGGCCTTCAAGCCAAAGTGAAAGGTGGGAACCAGTTTCACCGATTTAAAGATTCAATTAGTAAGTCAAAATTTTCTTGGCATGTGCCGTTAGGCCCCCATGAAACTGAAGTGAAAATTGAAGAAATTAAAGGCAAACTAAAGCAGTGCGAAGTTGAAAAGAATAGCATTGAAGGGAAGTTTTGTGACTTTGTCAATGGTGCCCGAAAAAAAGAACAAAAAATGAAAAACAAAATAACCTCCTTAGAAAATGCTTTGCAAAAATGTGAAGATAGTGATAAAAACTTTCATTGTCAAAATTATGCGAAGGAATCTAATGACAATATTAGAAGAAAAAGAAAACCTTTGCAAGAGTGTTCAGGTTCTTACAAGAGGAAAGTGATGAAAATGGACAATGAGAGATGTAAAAATGCTCTAGGTGCCTTAGAACTCCATGGTTGTAAACCAATAAGTGTAACAGTTGTAAGAAATGGAGAAGAGGCTGTCTTTGATCTTCTTCAGGCAGATGAGGACAATACAGAAAATGTAGATGTAACAGAACTTGATCGCATTAACACATTACTGTATATATTAGATACATTCCATGTATCACAAGAAGCATATCGCGAGTTAAGTTCGTTATTCAAAACTATGCCACGGGCGCATAACATTACTGAGTATATCAAAAACCTAAACAAGGGTATCAACATTATCACTACACCAGATGGACTCGGGGTTCAACAATCCTTAAAGCAAAGGCTCATTGATGTTTTAAGTAGTTTAATGTCAGAAAACACTGAAATAGTGCCAGATAACAAATTGAAAGTGAAAATATCTGGAGATGGGACAAGAGTAGGGAAAAGGTTACATGTTGTCAATTTCGCTTTCAATATTGTTAATGAAGGTTTAGCTCACCAAACATGTTATCCTTTATGCATTGTTCAGACCAAAGAAAAGTACACTGAATTAAACATTGCTCTAGCTGATCTACAGCACGAAGTAGAAGAAATACAGGGGAATATACTGAAGGAGACTACAAATTCTTATTAGTTGCTGTTGGCATATCATCTGTGGCAGCTTCAAACTCTTGTATATACTGTAAATGTGACAAAAAGGAGAAGATTGCTCTTAAAAAGCAATGGTCAATGCAGGACCCAGCTCTTGGGGCAAGGTTATCATATATTTGTACTGAGCCTGTGAATAAACCTGCAAATAGTAGGTTGTCAAGACCTAAGAAAGAACAGACCTTCTCCATAGTTAACCGGCCTCTGTTTCCATGTATTACCCCATTTCAAGTTGTCTTGGATCTCTTGCATCTCTTTCTTAGAATAACTGACAAACTCTTTAATTTGTTAGTTACAGAGCTGAGAGCATTGGATAATGTTTCACAGCATACAACATTTGTTGAATTAGACAGAGATAAAGTCAAACATGTGTCTGCATTAGAGAATGCATTGCAGCAAATGGGAATTTCATTTGAGTTGTATATTAACAAGGAAACTAGGAAGCTGGAGTAAAGGGACTTAACAGGTCCAGAGAAGCAGATATTAATGACTAAGTTTCAAGCTTCAGATCTCCTTCCTAACAGTGAAAGAGCAAACCAAATACAAGAGTTGTGGGATGCATTTTCAGATATTAATATGATTTTGAAATCTCTATCTCCCAACCCAGATGAAGTGCAAAGAAAGGCTGAAAACTGGTGCAGAATGTATGTTTCTTTGTATCAGAGTAGAGACATTACCCCCTATATACATGCTCTTCACTATCATGTCAGTGAGTTGATCAAGCTTCATGGAAACTTGGTCAGCTTTTCCCAACAAGGGCTAGAGAAAATGAATGATATTATTACCAAAAGCTACTTTAGAGCAACAAACCACAAAGGCCTTTTGGCCTTGAAACAAGTTATGGAAAAACAAAACCGACTTGTTCTTCTTTCCAAAAATAAAAGGAAAAGGCGTGTGTACAAAGATCGCAAACATTGAGTTTGTAAATATTTTTCAATTCAACGTATTCAAATATGTAAAAAGTGTGCACAAATTCTTACATGCATAATAATACCTGAAGAGTGTTTAATAATTCATATCTATTGAATAGATCAAACAAAGTCATTAAGAACATTTTTATGAAAGCAATGTGATATACTGAAGTACCTTGTGGGGGTAATTGTTTTTGTTAATTTTTATTTTTCTTCGTTTTTTTTTTTTTTTGGGGGGGGGGGGGTTTGGTTTTTCGTTGTTGTTATTTTACATGATTATCATACATAACAGGTAGTGCACAAGTTAGTTTGTGTATTGATTTTAATTCTTTGTCATAGTTTATTTACTCTATTTTCTTTATTTACAGTAGTATTTACCGTTATCGTTTTTAGCACAGATAGTGCAAATGCACAATTTTGTTTAATATGTTATTTTGTTTTACAAAAAATGTGTTTTATGCTTATTTAGTTTTTTATCCTTGTTTAAATTTATCATATGTACTTGACATGTTTTTTTCCATTGTTTGTTATCTGTCTGTTCACAAACATGCAAGTCCTGTTATAAGGTTACTGCCATGAAATGGTTAGGAGTAGTGTGCCATGTCTCTTTTTGGAAATTCATCTTGGTGCCTTATAACATATTGTATTTTTAAAAAATTTATCCAATGCGCTGGCAATGGTTATGGCTTTTCATCACTATATCTAGGGAGCTCTTCACTTTTTCGTCATAAGTTGGAAGCTCTCGAGGTATTTGCCATGTACTACTACTGATATATATACTGCAGATCTTGTGTAGACTTAATGTCGAGTTCATATCTATTTACAATATATAGAAAATGAAGAAATTTTCAATCGGAAATTTGTTATTTTAAATCGGTTACTGTAATGGAATATGCTACGATTACTTTTTGCAATGTATTTGAATACTGTCATTCAGGTTTCCTGTAAAAAGAGCAAAAATGATGTTCATATGAAGTGACACTAATCAAAAGTTCATATAGCTACACAAATATATTTAAATTCTGGATGTAATATACATGTGTTGCTTGTGTAACTGAAAACTGGCAAAAAAAGCACTGTAAAATTGTATTTCTTGCAAATAATTTTATTAATTACCTGGTAATGCAATTTTCCTCATAAAATACATGATTTACCTATTTTTCTTAGATTACATGTGGAAAGAGATCTTACAAATGATTTATAATGAATTATGAGTTCCTTTAAAAAATGAAATGAAATTTTGAAATTAGAAAATATAGATCTACATGAAATGTGATTTTGAAAATGAAAAATGATATTTCTCAAGTTTAAAAAAGGTGACACAATGTTCACATTTAACACAGAATACTTACAGCCTAACATGTAATGTACTGTAATGTAATGTACATTATATTTTATTACTTCTGTCAAATGTCAGATATCACTCTTGTTATTCCTTGTTTCAAATAAATTGATGTTATTTTCAAATTTAAAGTAGTTGTTCTTATTTTTTTAAATAGATAGCCAAACTTGTCTGTGTTTGCCACTAGGCCTAATTGTACAACCGGAACAAATTGGCGGGGGTATTAAATCGTGTGTGCACATGGAAAGCATTGAAGAGGTTCCAAGTTATAAATACGGTTCTATTTTTATAAAAGAAATTGTGAAAGATGATTGGATGTTTAAATGAATATTTCGTATACGTCATATCAAGTGTAATAATAGAATAGATCGAGAGTTTCCTTGCACACACCACTTGATGGCCGACACCCCCCTTCCGGCTGAGGTTTTCGCTATCAAATCTGCTTCGACTAACGACAAGAAATTGCAAGAATACGGTGTTTAGGATATCTTCATCGTGAATTTCATTATAAATTATATATCAGAGAACATAAAGCCAGTTGTAATAGGAAATATTTTGCTTTTTTATGTATCTGAAACGAAAATAGAGCAGAACAGCCTTGAGAATTATATAAGACGACATGCATTCTATATATAGGTGGAGCTTTTCCCAAGGTAGATAACTCGCTTAAGGGTCACGTTTTCGTGATATGCTTTCTATACATGTGTTATGTGACATCCTGATTATCCAGGTACACGATGCAATGCTCACGTCTCAAGTGCTATAGCACTATATATGTACTACCCTGTCAATATGTCGAGGACATGGCCAGGCCAATTACAGTAATTGGGGCCGGGTCTGAGAGTCACAGGATGTAACGATATTGGTACAAGTGTGTAGCCAAGTATCAGAACGCCATTTTCAAACCAGCAAGCCTTTCCGCTAGTCTCCTGACGCCTACAACGTTTACAGCCAACTCTGTCGTCATTCACCAGGCCACATCACCTACACAGAATAGTTTGGCCATCTTTAACAGTGACCCTTCAACTTCAGCGTTCAAGATAGCATTGCATCAATAACAAGAGGTATGGCCAGTGACGGATAAGTCACGTGAAGAGTGGACAATCGACTGCAAGAATTAAACATATATTACGGACCAAAGAACGACAGAGGTCACTGAACCTCTCCACGGGGTCATCGGATAGATTGTTGGTGTCCAAGTTTTCAACCGTCAGCAGCTTGGTCATTGGTCGCAGGAAACAGTGAGTCATTCATGACAGATATGTATGGTCAGTGTAAACCGTCCAGGGCCCTTGTGGTAAGTTTTATCATGATGAGTGTGGTCATTGTACTTGCAAGGACACAGAAAACAAAAAACTTGTGTCCAGCTGATGTATGTCACTGTTACGGAAAAACTGTCGAATGTTCCAGCCAGGAAAGTTCTGATATTCCGGAGGATATTCCAGACGGTACAAAAAATCTCAATTTGGCTGGTAATCACCTGCGAACGCTAGACAATGCCAGACTTCGGCCTTTAAAAAAGTTACGGTCACTTGACCTCCGTAACAACAACTTAGAGGAGATATCACGTGGTTCATTTTCCGGTTTGAAATCTCTACGGTTTTTACATCTTGGCGGAAATCAATTGCAGCATTTACCTAATGGAGTTTTCGGTTATCTCAAAAATCTTGAAAATCTTGTCCTTTCGAATAATGACCTTACCGACGTGGAAGGAGTGTTTGTAAACATGTCCGAGATTCTGCAGTTAGATCTATCATCCAATCGTATTTCTCACCTGACCTCTCAATCGTTTAAAGGAATGAGTAGTTTACAGTATCTTAACTTGGAGAATAACAATATATCCAGCATAAGTTTACAGACTTTCTGGGGTATGGCGTCACTACGGCAACTCATATTACGAGACAACTTCTTAAAACAAGCAGACGGGTTGTTCGTGGATAACCCTGATTTACAAACCGTTGATTTAGCCAACAATCGTCTTCAATCCTTTCCACAAGTGCTACCTCTGCGTATAGAGTTTTTACACCTGGATCAGAATAACATATCTACGATTAGACGAGACGATATGATCGGCTATGTTAGACTAAGGAACCTTATGCTATATCAAAATTCATTGACTTTGATTGAAGACGACTGTTTTGCGGAAATGGAAGATCTGCAGGAATTATGGTTAAATATGAATAACCTGTTAAAAATTCCAGCAGGATTGCCAACTGGCCTTCAACACTTAAGTCTTGACGATAATCAAGTAAGTGTTATAAATAGTAACGATTTTCCCGCCAATTCCAATCTGCACATACTGTCTCTGCAGTCTAACGCTATAACACGTATTGAAAATGAGGCTTTCCAGAATCTTGCTTCATTGACTGATCTATTTCTCGGCGGAAACTATATAACCGTACTTCCTAATAACGTTTTTTCATCGTTAGTAAATCTGGTACATTTGAACCTGCTTAGGCTTGATCTAGATCTGATAGAAGAGGACGCTTTCACTGGTTTGTCCAATTTGATGGCCCTTGATCTTTCTTTTATTATTGTGAAATCACCAACAGGGATTCAAGGAAACATTTTCAAATGGCTGCCAAATCTGACTACATTGTCGCTGCAGGAGAGCCCCGAACTAGCAGCTAAACTTGTCTCCTCACAAGAAATGCTGTCAAGTATAAGCTCGGTACAGGATCTAAACCTCATGGATAACACTATCACAAGTCTCGGTTTGACATTAATCAGTAGACTAAAACAACTCAGAGTGATCAAACTTTCCGGAAACCCTTTCCATTGCGATAGTCTGTTACGATGGCTTCAAGATTTCATCAAGTTAGAAAGAAGCAAGTTTTTTATGCCTTTTGATATATTGTGCTACACTCCAATCGAATTACGTGGACAGTCTGTTATGAGTATTCAGTATTCTGACTTCGTTCCCGCTACCACAACCACTACTACAATGTTACCAACCACAACCAAAGTGGATAACCATCCAAGGACAGCAAGTGAACAGCCCGGGTACACTTTACAACCTTCAGTGACATCAGTCGTTCCAGTAATCAACACGACGGGTGTAACCAGGGTAACAAGTGCTCACAAAGGAACGAAGGAAAATTTATCAGATGTAAACAACCAATCAGAAGAGCACAATTTCACGGTGATCACCATAGTAACGAGCATTTCCACCGCGGCAGTAATAATTGTGATTGCCGTGGTAATTATGGTAATATTTCACCGTCGGCGATATGTACAACGTGACTTTGAATACTGTCGCGAAAATGAGGTGGAATTTTACGTCTCTGACGGAAGTGATCGTCCTCCAGTCAAACTGACCCGCGAGGAGAGACAGTCACGTGGCTCAGTGACATCCAAAGCAGAGGAAGACATTACAAATGAACTAGACCTTAGTATGAGGGTCTACACGTGGGATGACGGAGAGCAATAGAATCTTACTTCTAATAATACATAAAGTATTGACCTTGACCTCACGTTGTAAGTAGATAAAAATGAGAGACTATGCAGCAAGCTTTCATTTGATTAACTTTTTGTTGATAACGCATTAACTACAGAAATAAATAGACATATTTTATACAACTACTCTGACTTGCGACATTTGCTAGTACACGTTGCCAATGAGCTTTCGTCACCCTTGCATGTACGTAGGTATTCTATGATGTTGGTTAACTTTTACGCTGTCTAGTGCCCAAGAATGACATAAACATCTGTGGAGCCAAAATTGACTCCTAATGGACATTTGTTTGAGGCAAATGTATATAAATGGCGGAACCTACTATGTGGTTGATAATATTCACGGGGGATTTAATCCACTACACTCGCGGTCAATGGTGATAACATGAAATTAAATACCACGAGAGCATTTCTAGTGAATGAAAATCTGAGAACATCTCTGTTTTGCCTCAAACTGGGACAACCGCGAAATATTTTGCCCACGAAGATTAACAACTATACAGTATCAAAGATCAGATAAAGCTCTATTTAAAACAAGCACGATCTTTAACCTCATGAATATGCATGTACTTAACTTGATCTCCGATATAGACTATAAACTACATCGCTAACTTCGGACACAGTGGTGACCTAGGATAAATATGTGAATATTCAGATTTATACAGACGATGTTCATATTATACGAATATGCTTAATTTAAAATTCATATGTGTACTTTTTACAATGATATTTGTAGTTAACAAGCATTTGTTATATACCAAATATAGCCCCAGATATATGGGTATAATACTTGCACTGCTAGAACTTGCATTCCTTTAACATCTGACGTAGGTCTATAGCTTTTGATCACGTGACCAATTCAACTCCTGGACAAGTGAACGATTTCTTTGGTTCACGTTAAAATTGATCTTCGTTACCACATTTTATTGACCTCTGACCTCATACTGGTTTCACATGTTGGGCAGCTGATAATTACCTTTGTGCATATTTAAATTGACCGCTGACCTGGTTTATCATATTAGAATAGGATATGTATATATTCTTCCTTTGATTGCAAGTATTGACCTTTTAATATTGACCATGACATCGTACAGCCAAAAATAACCAAGTGCTGAAAAATACTGTGGTTCATTTTCGTGATGATGTTATTTTCGACGAAGCTATGATATCTTATCATAGGCCGTCGTACCAGGTACTCTTAATTTGAGTTATTAAATTTGAGTTTGACCTCAAGAGAGTATGATATGGTTTTACAGTAAACATACCATTGGTTTTTAACAGCACAAATATCTTCCAGTTAGATTGACCTTGACCTCAGTTTTATACCAATCATTTGATACATTGATATTCCCTTGAACTTTGACCTAAAAATATCCTGACCGAAACAATTGATATCAGCATATATATAACATTAGAATGGGTTGTAAAACCGTGTATGAAATGTGAAATAAATTCTGTAACTTCTAGTAGTAAATTTGTTTACCTGAAAACCTCATTCTTGATCGACTATCAAGAACTGCAGTTAGGTTTGTTTTCTTAGACTGTATGATATAAAACAAGTTCCAAGGTGTCTATCTTACCAATGTGTGTAAAACAGCTAGCAGTTTCATGAAAAAGTCATCAACTTTGAAAAAAGATAGTGATGTCTGTTTTGGTCAAATTTATAGGAAAATAATATGTTTGCAGTTTCAAATCCCCTTTGCCCATGGTCCGTCTGATTGTCCCTAAACAGTACTTGTAATCACTAGAAAAATATTACATTGATCATTCTTGAACTTCATAAGTATGTCCCATTTTGTCCCTAGAAATGGCTGTTAAGTGAATTTTGATAGCTATAGTGTGGTATGTTATTTCTTATGAAGTACTTAATGGGACATTTTCAAATTCCATGTGTAGGCTGCCTATGACTTCTAACTGTGCATTGTCTATTTTGGAACTGATAAAAAAAAAAAAAAAAACCACCGGCAGATGGCAGTCATCATGGATGTTTTTTTTTTATTGTGCTATTTTTTTATTAAGAGAAACAACATGGTTTATTCTCAGATTTTATATATAGTTCCCCACTGGTCACTTGTTGTGTATATTTGAGTTTAGGACCAGTGAGGAAGAAATGGAAAGAAGGAAAAAATCTGTCAGATAGAAGTTAAAAAGGATGACGGGCGCCATCTCTGGGATCTGGTGTTTTATTTATCAGGTCCCTACTATTTGACAATCTAATTATAATCAATCGGACAAGAGGACAGACATTACACCATCATACATTGATAAAAATAATATACATGTACAGGAATGTGTAATATGTAAATGATATCACAAAAACTTGTACAGTGAAACCTCACCTAACGACCACCTCAAAATTACGACCACCCCGCTATTACGGGCACTTTTTTTCAGTCCCGTTTTTTTCCACTATATATCTTTGTATTGGTCCCTTCAGTATTACAACAACCCTGCTATTCCGTATTACGACCACTTTCTACAGTCCCAACGACCACTTATTAACGATAATTGACCTCACAATTACGACCACGGCCTGACCAAAGATTGAAGTTTACCTGGTGGGCAGTGAACCGCGGACATGTGTGTCGTTCACGACCATTGTTTTCGTCGCGGGTTACCGACCCTGTCACCAGGTGGCGTTAAACGAAGTAAACATAATTATCGGATTAACTTGGCCTACCCGTCCGAAACCGCATGCTAGACACGTTTTAATATCGATCTGTTGTTTGTTAATTATATATTGATAGATCAGTAGGTATATAAACACCTTATGTAGTCGTTTCGGCCGATATTCCTTGGCTTGCACGCGCACACGTTGTCGAGGGTTTTTAACTGTTTTTTCTAGTAATGTTACACTCTTGGCTTGCACGCGCACACGTTGTCGAGGGTTTTTAACTGTTTTTCTAGTAATGTTACACTCTCGATATCGTTTGAACAATAAAAAAAAGTGTATGTGTTCCATTTTTTTTACGGCACATTTCTCTGTCACAAAACTCCGATGAACTTTATCAAGCAATGACGAAACCACGGAAACGAAACGAGCTATCGCGATCGGTAAAAAGGACGTATGAAAGAGGAGGCTGTCCAGATCCGTAGCTCTTCGCAATATTGTGCTCCGGACTCTTTTTTAAGTAAAAAGAAAGATATGTTGTACTGAGTGATACACTGATAAAGATAATGTGTTTGCGAATTTAAGTGAAAAATGAAGCGTTGAAAGACTTTATAGTGACTTAATTAAAGTTGTTACAAATACTGAGTAAATGTGTTCGTAAATTTATGTGAAATAGTTGCAAAATTAACGTTAAATGCCAATTTAACTTAAAATGGATTGTTTGTTTCCTTTTATTCAATGTTTACAATAGTAAATATACATGTTTATTATGATATAAACTAAGGAATATATACATAACTATTCTTCTGTCAATTCAGCAATTTTGTCTTTTTTACATGCATTTCATACAATTCAACATTTTAGTTTATTATTATTAGTTATTATTGTTGAATAATATACATGTACATTACGTAATGATATATATACTCTTTATTTTAAACAGAGTTACGGTTCTTTGTGGTTAAATCTGATCCACCTCACTATTAAGAACACCTCGCTATTAAGACCACTTTTGTCCAGTCCCCAAAGTGGTCTTAATAGCGAGGTTTCACTGTATATTCTATATCTGTGTAATATCTGTGTGTACATTTTAAAGTATACTTTTAATGATGACCTTGAACTAGAATTTAAGAATTAAAGAAATAATTATTCAATAATTCCTATATATCTGATAAAGTATCTAAACACAAGTGGACAAGTTGTTTCTTATGTGTTTAAAAAAGTTGATATATTATGACAAAAATGTTTGAAAGTCCTTTAATTTCCTTCAAGGAAATTACCAAGGAAGGAGACTGTTTCTAAGATGTTGACCTTTTTAAACATCTCAGCTGTGCATGTTAAGCATCATAATCACATGGCATGGTGTTTAAGTACTGATAAGCACAGTAAATGTTGCAGTTTCTTGAAAATCAGAGTATAAAAAGAGTATACCAGGAAATTTCTTCAGTTCATTGATGTCTATATAACTATTGTGTTAAAGTACATATATACATTATACTATTAGGGAAGAAGAGATTCCCGAGGTAGTACTTGATATGCCTGTCATAGGTCAAATGAGCGTTTGGAGACAGGAAAGGGAAGGAAAGTGATGTTAAATTCCCTATCAATACATTTACAGACAGTGCAAGTTGTGTGATGGTGGAGGAAACCAGATTAAACCACCCTGCGTCAATGGCACTAACATTTGAGCTAATCCCTAAAAAAACATTCAAGTTATTGTTCCATCAATTTTACTAAAGCCATGACACAATAGATAACAGGCAAATGATACCGGTTATAGAAATTGTCTTAGGTTTCCTGGCAATAAACCAAATGAGTTAAGACTTCAATGACCTGTGATATAAACAAGGAACTATATGTATGGCATGAATTATGCTGTCTCTTGTCATGGCAATCCAACATCATTCTAAAGTGTCAAACGATTTTCGTCATTGTTATTTGTGATAAAATTTGTCATTGTGAATTATCCATAAAAGGCATGTGATTGAAAATTGGCACTTAAAACTAGTTAGTAATGGTAATAAACCTCACTATGAAGTTCGAGGTTGATCTGTTGAAAACTAATCGAGATATGGAACACACACTGTTTTCATAAATTAATAAAGGGCCATAACTCCAAGAATTACAGTAAGAAAAATGCAGCAATGCGACATGTGTGACACATCATGGTAATGAAGTTTCCTATAAAATTTAAAGTTGATTCGTTGAAAAACTACTTGCGATGCAAGCAGATGCTTTTGGTAGTTGAATAAGGGGCCAGCTATCATGGTATTAAACCTTTCTATGAAGTTTGAAGTTAATCTGTTGAATCCTTTTTGTGATATCAAGCAGACAATATTTCTGTAATTAAATAAAGGGCCATAACTCAAAAAAATGCAGTGATCAAACTTGTCTTGGCAATCATGGAAATCAACCATAAATTACCATATTCAAATTCATCCAAGCTATCATGATAATGAACCTCCCTATGAAGTCTAGAAAACTACCTAAGTTAATCGAACGGACTCTGCCTGTGTCCACCCACCTACCCAAATGATAACATATGACCCATCTTTTAACAGGCATATAAAAAATGAAACAGAGGTATTTATAGGAATGAAACGTTGGTTTATTTGAAACATTAGCATACAAGAACTACAAACTAGAGATTAATTTAAGTGAACAAAAACACATGGCTCCACTCTTTTATTAGCAATTATATAAATTGGCTGCTTTTGTATAAAAAAATTACTGTTTTTATTAATTCAGCTATTGGAAAAATTCAGACTAGTTTGACCATTGACTTTGAGCAAGGTTGCTGCGATCCAATGACAAAGTGCTGCACTTGGTCAGTGGGTGATAAAGGTGTGCAGTATCCCTTTACTAAAATATCTTTAACAGATTAAAAGTTATCACCAACACATCAAATTATTGATAAATTTGCACTTGTTCGACCTTTGAATTTGAGGTCAAGGTCACAGTGACCATTAGCAGTTTTTTGTACATCAGCTTTAGGTTATGCAAATATAAATGGTACTGCAAGTTTTGTCAAGATGTCATCAATAGTTTAAAAGTTACATCTTGGATAAGAAATTATTAGAAAAACCAGAATCATTTAAAGGAGGAGACATAAATGTACCAGCTAAGGAAAATACTTTGTATTTTCTTTTCTGTATACAATGCATTTATAACATTTTAAAGCCAGCTGGTATAAATAACAATAATAAACATATGTTTATGTTTCAATAAAATTGTCTACAGCAGACATTAACCTCTTGGTGACAATACAACCAGTATACAAGTCCTTCTCAAACAAAGGTCAGTTGGTTTATTGGTGGTAAAAACACACACATACAGTAATAAATACTACCCAATTTGATGTTCTTTAGTCTGAAGGTCAGTTGGTTTATTGGTGGTAAAAACACACACATAGAGTAATAAATACAACCCACTTTGATGTTCTTTAGTCTGAACATCTAACTCAAGATTTTAACTTATAAATTTTAAAAATGAAAAATTGCATGCATGACTTTATTTTTGAAAATTTTAGAATTAAGTTAAACATTATAAAGAAATATTATAGTAATTATTCTATTAACATTATTTATCTACATCTTAGAGTGAGCTACAAATTTAACAGAAAGTCAAAAGAGGAAAAGTGCAACATCAAGTGGCATCATCAGTATTAACAAATAAATATACCCAAATCTTTATATAAAGGTTGGATTGTATGTCATGTTTTTGCTGAAATTGACACAGCAGTTTACAGAGTTTCTCAGACAAAAGTTGGGACCAATCAGTCTTAAATTTAGTTACACTGACAATATGTTATTACATTCACAGTATATAAGCCATCCAAATTTTTAAAACACATCA